AAAAAGAAACCAAAAGCTTTAAATTTAGTTATATTAAATTAAAACCATTAGTTCTGTTTTTTTGTTGGATTCCAAAATTCGCCTGAAGATGAAACAGAATTAATTCTTTTAGTATAATTGAATTTGATGTTTCTGGTTTCTGTTTTTGAAACATGGTAATTCCTTTGTTGCGACGAAAGCATATCAGTTAATTTATAATATTTATGCTCTGTAAATTTACATTGAGCACTGTTTTGTAAAAATAAAAATATCAATAAGATCAACCGGATTACATATTTTACTGTTCTTCCTTTTTTTTTACTATATATATATATATATATATATATATATATGAAGAAATATACTCTTAAGGTGTGCTATATTTATAGAATAATCTGTTCAATATCAGAGATACAGCGCGTGAAAATATAAAAGCGAACATTGAAGTCAACACTTAGGGGAAACATGAAACAGCCTGTCGCCCCTAAGTTTTCACTTATATATATATATATATATATATATATATATATATATATATATATATATATATATATATCATAAATAAAAAGGAGATAACGGATTATATTTATCGGACATTTCAAACGTTATTTTTAGTGGATACACGTGTTTGAAATAGAAGAAACTTTTTGTCTTTTTAACGTAGCGTGTCAACCGTCCTGCACATTCAAAAAATATACTTCAAACTAGATTTCGAACCTGTGCATCCCTTTGTAGGAGAAGCCAACGTCGGATTTGGTGTACCTTAGACCGTTCGGCCGCAGAAAGCATTACGACCCTATAACGTTCTATTTTCCCTTTTAAGGAATGCACACAACTCAGTGATTCAGATTTTCTCGAAAGCCCACAACGACTTGATTTCATAACCGAAACACAAGCAAAGCAATTTCTCAAGAGTTAATGGATTTATTTTTAATTTGTCATTTTTATTCATACGAGATTTTTAGTGGATACACATGTTTGAAATAGAAGCCTTTTTTTATTTTTAAACAGAGTATATTTTTCATTTTCTTTATTAAGCTGCAGATCAGTAAACGTAATGCAAACCGTATTAAGGCTATCCGCACCAGAATTATGCCAATTTCTAACATCAACACGTACATAAATCCTATAAGCATTTAGTATCTTCAGCTTAGTCTGACACAAGGCTACAAGTATAGAGGATTTAGTGATGATAATATCCACCAGAGTCTTAATGATTCGTGGGAGTTGTAGCATGAAATCAAATAAGAATTTAATTCATTCTCGAGACTAGATTACTAGTGTAGGTGACCTTTTGCATTTTGTTTTACTTCTTTTCTGTGCTCTTTCCCTTAAGGACACGGGCGATGAATAGCTTTCCACAAGTTCTTATCCTTTGTAGCTCTTAGTAACGTTTTTTTTTATTACTATCCCTCTCACTCCCTGTTCTGCTATCCGTATACACAAGCTCATTAGTGATAGGTTCATGGCTGTTTTATTCTGTCCCTCGTGACTTTAATATATTTCGTGAGTGTTAAATACCCCAAGCCCTATTTCTTCATTATATGTCCTAGATATTTAATCCACCTGTTTTTCTAATTACAAGCGTCTTTTTTGTTTCTATTTTCCTTGAAACTTCTTCGTCACTCATGTTGCAGTTTTTTGGGTATTTCTTTACTAGTGAGCTAGCCTAAATGAGCTGACTCATTTTATAGTTCACCAATAGAAGGGTTAACCAATCAGAAAGCTCAAAATATTCAATACGACGTGTATAAAAACAGCCATTTTTGTTTCTCCCAAATTGTCTGCACTGCCGACCTGATATCGAAGACTTAAAGAATTACTTAACAACCGCTACTTTCTCTGAATCTTCACTGCCGACCTCTGATATTGAACAGATTACGGACTGGATTCCATATTCAGAGACTGCGGCAAACATGGTCAACAACTCAGATGTTCAGTCCATGACATTCTCATCATCGTAGAACCGCATCTCTGTTGCCTCAAGTCTCCTTATCATCTGCGAGGGAATTGTCCAGTAGTCACTGCTATATATGAATTTTGATATTACATATAAATTCAGCACTCATTTTATTTTTGTTTCTAACAAATGTTTTTAGCATTTAGAAGGCATCTTTCACTATCTCAATATTTCAATATTTTGTTACGTTTATTACATAAATAAAAAAATCACTCAATAAATCAGATATAAATATTTACACAGCTTAGGTTACTCTGGTACAAGGCTAAAAGTGTAGGGAGCTTATTAAACCGTACTAATGATATGCCAGTCAAATTCGCTTCAAATTATTCATCGGTGAGATTCCTTATACAAAAGCCGTATAAAAATATTTACAAATGTCCGTATACAATGATAAAATGTATTAATATACAGAGAAAATATATGTAAATATATGCCAATTTTTTTTTCAAATTTATATGCAGGTATAATTGAAAATATATACGTTGTAAATATGCATATATGCAAATATATTTGTAAATATATATAGAAATATATATACGTAAATTTATTCCGTGGCTTTTATCTCGACAAGCATCCATCCATTGAGTTGGGAAAAAAGATTCTGAACGTTTTAAAAAGTCTACAAATTTGGTTATTTCGCACGCCCCCACCCCCCGCAGAAAAAAAAAAACAACAAACAACAAAAACAAATATAAGAATAATTCAATATAATTACCATATTTATTAATCTCTCTCTGCCAACGTGTAGGTAAATCAGAGATTCCTTTGCGATAGAATGACCTCAGTTACAGAACGAAAAAAGTTTTCTTGAGTCGTATTCGTTGTTGTTATTTCAGTAGATTACACTGAAGGTTCTAAAGGCTAATGAAAGAGTGTCAGACGACGTGACTGATTTGATATATTGATTTTGTGGTGCTACTATAGCGTGAGGTCTACCTTCCGTTTCATCTCTAGCGTGAGGTCTACGTTCCTTTTCGTCTATAGCGTGAGGTTTAACTTCCGGTTTGTCTATAGCGTGAGGTCTACCTTCAATTTCGTCTATAGCGTGAAGTTTAACTTCCGTTTGTCTATAGCGTGACGTCTACCTCCCGTTTCATCAATAGCGTGAGGTCTACTTACTGTTTCGTCTATAGCGTGAGGTCTACCTCCCGTTTCGTCTATAGCGTGAGGTCTACCTTCCGTTTCGTCTATAGCATGAGGTCTACTTTCAAGACTTCAATGTCAAATAAAACAGTATTTATTTACAAACTGCAAATAAATGCAGAACACAAACAAAACAAGTAAGAGCCAAACAAACTTATTAACAAATTCAATGATCACCTTCGTAGTAGCGCGGTTCGAGTCACTCAATAATCACTCAACCATAAACCGGTAATTTTATACACCTGGCGGAAAACATGTAAGACCAGAGTGTCACGTTCGAATCTCGGTGTCGGTAGGTCTCATTTTCTTCCTATATGACAGTTTCCTAGAATCATTCTTTTACGATAGTATCTCCTTTCAGTTATGCCTCTTCTGTAGTTTACAGCTGTTTAGTAACAGGAGTGTGTTGAAGTATATTTAGGCATGATATATCAGCCGCTAACGAAGAATATCACCGGGACTTTGTTAAGATATTTCCTTTTACAGTGTCGGTCTTTGGGCTCTGTCACTGGATGTCTTCAGTATGAGCACTAGTAAAAAATGATTGCTGAAGACATTAGGTCTATAATACCCAGAAATTCATGCACAGTTGTCCTTAAGGACACATAGCACAGTGGATAAAGGCGTTAGTTAGATCCAGTGACAGGGCCCAAAGAGTGTGAGTTCAATAACAGGAGATAACTGACATCCATTAGACATGGCACGTGGAACTAGAACAGCTCGACGTTCCAACCACCCGAAGAAGGTCGGAGCGTACAAAGGCCGAAGCTTTGTGATAGATGAGATAGTCCCAATAATTTAAATATATTCAGTAAATACCTTCGTAGTAGCAGAAGAACGTCCAAGAGTCACTCAATAATCACTCAATAAACAACTCGTAATCAACCAATAGTCAACTACCGACTAATAGTCAAATCGTAGTCCGAGATTGATTTGATCCACACGTGGGGAGCTGAGTGTTTTCCACTAAGCTGGTCAGAGTTTGTCTAAGATAGTCATAGCCGGTCATACCACCGCTACGTAACAGATGTCACGCAACGGTGGGTGGGAACGCAAGGGAGGAGGAGAGAAGGCCCCCAGCACGGAACAGATACTACAACTGCAGTATCTATTCCGTTGGAAGAAAAAAAACACTTCTCTTCCTCGGCCAATTCTCTCGGAATAATACGGGTGTGGGGAGCCCCTAGTCAAATTCTAGTCCACTGCCGTCATTAGCCGGACACCGCTACACACCTGGCGGAAAACATATAAGACCAGCAGTATGTCATGTTCGAACTTCGATGTTGGCAGCTACCATTTTCATCCTATATGAAACTACTATTGATAATCCCAGGGTGATATGGTTGTTGTTATCTGGTACATTCGTTTGGTTATTGCTCTTTAGCGCAAGTCCACAAGGTTCGAAGAAGGGTGGTCTTCGCTTCCTTGGCTCGAAGCTAAATATATATATATATTTAAGCAGACCTAAATAGCCTATTCCCCATATGATTTTGGATTTTATCGTTTATTAAATGTATTGCTCTGTAATAATAAATATATTGAACGCTTTTTGTGGATCAGTTTTAATATTTTATATTACTTTGATTCACTTGGATTATATACCAACGGATTTTTTACGTTTACTATCTATCTATCTATCTATCTATCTATCTATCTATCTATCTATCTATCTATCTATCTATCTATAACTCTCTCTCTCTCTCTCTCTCTCTCTATATATATATATATATATATATATATATACCAAGGTCGCGTATTCTATCTGAACCCCTAATTTTTAAGGTATATATATATATGTGTGTGTGTGTATATGTGTGTATGTGTGTGTGTGTGTGTGTGTGTGTGTGTGTGTGTGTGTGTGTGTGCATGAGTGCGCGTGTGTGTTTAGCTTAAAATATTTTTAGTAAATAAAAGGTTAAATTAAATAGTGATTAGACTTGGGAGAAAGAGAGAGAAAGAGAGAGAGAGAGAGAAAGTAAGACAAAGTGAGAGCGAGAGAAAGTATAAGAAAGTGTGTGTGTTTGTGTGAGAGAGAGAGATAGAAGAGAAGAAAATTCAGAGCCGAAAAGGAGGGAAGGAAGGAGCGAAGGTAGGGAAGGTAGGAAGGACGGAGGGAAGGAAGGAAGGAAGGAAGGAAGGAAGGAAGGAAGGAAGGAAGGAAAGATGGAGGACAGAAAAACAAAAAAGAAAACGAAAGATTAAAACGGGGACAAATAGAATGGTTGTAAGTGAGTGGTGGAACGAAAAGAAAACGGTAGGGAGCGGACGAAGAAGAAAGAAAAGAAAGTGAGGAATGAAGAAAGTGGAGAAAAGAGAGAAGAAGGCCTCGAAGAAAAACTGAAAAAAAAGAAATAAATGAAAAGAAGAAAAAAAAGAAAAAGTGAGTGTGTGTGTGTGTGTGTGTGAAAGAAAGAAGACAAAGACGAAGAAACTAGGGAAGGAACGAACGAAAGAACAAACGAAAAGAAATAAAAATAACAGAGAAAAAGAAGCCAAAGACGAATAAGAAAGGAAAGAAAGAAAGGAAAGAAATAAAGGAAAGAAAGGAAAGGAAAGAAAGGAAAGAAAGGAAAGAAAAGAAAGAGATAGAATTGATAGTGAGAGAGAAAGAAGAAAAAGAGACGGAGAAAAAATTAAAAGGATGAAAGAAATAAAAAAGAAAAAAAAGAGAAAAATGAGAGTGAGAGAGAAAGAGAACACAGGCGAATAAGACAAAGACAAGAACGAAAAAGATAAAGAAAAGGAGAGTGTGATAGAGAAACGAAGAAATAGAGACAGGGTAATAGATAGGCTGAGCGAAAGAGAGAGGGAAATAGAAAGGGGGAAAGACTGAGAAATAAATAGATTGATACACAGAAAGAATGGGAACGTATTTATGTATGTTTATGTCTCTGCATCATAGTATTTTTTTTATGAAGATCGCCAAGAGAGCGTTGATATTTCTTGTGATATGACATCAATATTAATAGGCAGGTGTCTGCATATCGAAATTTATCGACTGGCCAAGCAAATATACATAGTGGCTGTCAATTTCATTTTCAGTGGAGCCATAGTTTTGCATTAAACACGGTCATAAGAATTTTCAAAAGTTCGTCCAACTAAATCAATATCAGTCCGGGTCAATAAGTAATTATCAAACACTGTAAACATTTTTTTTCCGATAATAATGATACTGACTCGACGCTTGCTGGAGAGTAATGGTGGAAAAGCTAATCACGTTAATCCATACACTTGTTTAGTAAGTTCGATCTTCACAAGGCACCGTCTTGTCTTGAGTCAGACAAATATGAAGCCTGGTAAAAAAAAATGTATTTTATGGCATATATGATGCTGAAGCTGATAAAATTCCCATTTTAGCAAGGCATATTAAGATAAATGTTTGGATAGCACCTGCTCAGAAATATCTAAACAGTTTATAAGATAAAATAGCTTTGATCGAATGTAGCCTATGGGCCTTGATGGAGACCACACTTCGAATCTTGTCTGGCGCTACAGAATCACAAATAAAGAACTCTACGAGATAACAGAAAGCGCATCATTTGTGTTCTTTTCACAGCAAAAATAGCTAAAATGGATATCACATGTAACTCTGTCTATATTTTTGAGATGTATTATTTACATTATTTGCATTAATCAGACTATTGTCCTCATCTCTGTCGCCATATTTATGTAATAAATATGGCGACAAAGATGAGGACAATTATCCGAATAATGTAAATAGTGTACAAATTTAACTGGAAGAGAAAATTATGACATAAGATGTTTTTCTGAGATGAGGTATTGTAATTATTTACATTGTTCGGACAGTTGTCCTCATCTTTATTGTCAAATCCACGACCTTTTGGCCTTCTTTAAGCGATAGGAATTTCGAACTGAACCCTTTATTTCGTCAACCCAGGTAGATTCTTTTAGTTCTACGTATGTCTCAGTTATCTCCCTTTAACTCAACTCTTCAATTTTTTTTGTTTACCAATGCCGTAGACAGGTATTGAACTTGCAACTCAATAGATTCAACCAACGCTTTTATCCACTGATGAGGACATCAGTGTATGAAATTATAGGACTTATAAACTTAATGTCTCAAACAATTTTAACCGGAGCTCATATTGTAATTTTGTTGTTATCATTGCTTTTCTCTAGTACTCCGTATTACTGGTTCCCATATTGGATTCATTTCTATGCTTGGTCAGCTTAGGAGATTTTTGTTGTCTAGCATATTTGCTGATTCCTTAAGTTTTCGTATTTTCTAGTGATGTTCTCTGTCTATTATTTCAAACTCATTCCAATCAAGAAGGCCTGAGCGTACAACGGCCGAAATTTCGTGAACACGAGAATAGAGATGAGGACAATATAAATAATGACATAAGATGGTGATGTTCCACACTACTTCAGATAAAATCTTAGGGCGGAAACTCCCCTTTAGACTTGAATGAGCGATAACAGCGACGGAACTTCAAAGACTTATTCTCCTGAAAAATAATTTTAAGAAAAAGATTTTATAAATTTCAAACGGCAATAGTACAAGCTACTGGGTCAATGAAAGGAGAATGTTTCCTTATAAGGAAACAGCTAATATTACACTTACAACATCGAATATTACTGGACTTCTATCGTGTTTCCTATTTAGCTCAGTGCAAAGCAAACTTCATTTCAGTCATATATTAAAAACATGTGTATATCTCTGAGATGAGGTATTATGATTACTTGCATTATTTACATTATTCGAACTGTTATCCTCATCTTCATTGCTATATTCACAACGTTTCGGCCTCTATATCTCTGAGATGAGGTATTATGATTAATTGCATTATTTACATTATTCGGACTGTTATCCTCATCTTCATTACCATATTCACAACGTTTAGGCGTTCTACGTTCCACCCTTCTTCAGGTGATTGGAATTTCGAACCGAACATTTTATTTCATCCACCGAGGTAGATTGTTCTAGTTCCACGTGTCATGCCTCTTCCGGATGTCCCAGTTATTTCCCTTTAACTCAACTCTGCTAGTTGTTTCGTTCACAACTACTGTAGCTTGGCATTGAACTCACAACTCTTTGGGTCTAGTCACTGGAGCTAACCAACGTCTTTATCCACTGGGACATGGGTCTTCAAGGAATAGGCATGGCACGTGGAACTAGAACAATATATCCCTGTGGATCAAATAAAGGGTTCGGTTTGTAATCTCAATAACCTGAAGAAGGAAGAGTGTACAACGGCCGAAACGTTGTGAATATGTCAATGAAGATGAGGATAACAGTCCGAATAATGTAAATAACGCAAGTATTATTTTTAAAATTTCTGAAATTTTAATATTTGGGAAGATAACTAAGTGAGTTTTATACAATATTCAACTACGTTACACCATCTGGTGGGTTCCCTATTTAAATACTGACCGGTTTGGCATTATTATTTTCGGTGATCGAACGAGAACGGGTGTTTACAGAGGGATTTGATCGTAAACCCATTATAGTGGGTAATGATTAGCTAGCGCGTGTAGCAGTCCATTTCTACTGTTCAGTCTTTCCTATTCACACTGATATGGCATTTTGTATATACCTACATGCACGGTGGAGTAATGGATAGCGGCTCGGATTGAGCCGAGTTCGAATTCCAGTCGGATCCATTACATTCACTTACGTGCTAATACCCTTGGGAAAGGTATGAATCCTATTTTCCTCCCAGCTATGGATGAAAAGCAGGACAGACTGGGTTCTATAGCCTTGGGTGGCAACCGGTGTAGGAGAAGGAAAAACTCTGAATTCAAAGGTTGGGCTCCGTCCGGCTATCTTGCCCAAGAAACACCACTTCTACAGCGGCTACAGTACATATGGCGTCCCTACGAAAGCCACGGGTCACTGGATGAAAAAAATATACCTACGTATTACGTAACCCTTTTACGACGGGAAAACGTTTTCACAAACGTGCACGCCAAACGGATGAAAACAATAAAACTAGAAAAATGGTTACTTTAAATCTTTTAGATTATACGAATAAAGAAAAAAAAATGCAGTATATACTCGTGTATAAGTCGACTTTATATATAGAAATTTTTAGCATGAATTTTACTCCCTCCAGAATAAATTTACCTGTGTATAGTGCAACTGATCAGCAAAAATGCACGATTTTTAGCCTCTTCAAAAAATTACAACCAACTTTTTACGTAAAAAAAACTGATAATAATTTTTTTTATTATGCGCGAATATATACGATAAAACAAATGTTAGATTCTTAAATTTAAATATCACGTGCTTCGAAATATCTGTAGTATTATCATCATCTGACGCAACTGAAGGGATGAAGAAATGTCAGAAAAATGTTCCTCTTCATTGATGTCTAAACCTTATATGAGCGATATTTTATCTTCCATTCACAAAGGTCGCTTACGATCTTTTTATCTTCCGTTGACAAAGGTCGCTTGCGATCATTTATCTTCAGTTGACAAAGGTCACTTAGAAATGATTTGACAGAATTAACATTCTCGCATCCATGTGTGTGCTAGTGTCGCTGTAAGCGCAATTAGTAACCCCAAATGTCTTAGTGTAACCAAATAGACATTTAGTATTATCAGTCATTTTGAGTTACTAAATAATGATTTTTCTCAGATTCTTTCACTCTCAGTAACCAGTTTAATTTAAGCGCAGTACTAGATTGGCAGCGAGGTCTCACCAATTGAAAAGTTAACTTGGTTAGATGTAACTGTAAATTGTATGTTCACAGTTTCTTTTCTCGCACTTATTGCTTGTGGAACGCTCTTCCGGCTCCATTCTTTTCAGCAAATTCTGACCTCCAAAAATCTAAATGCGATGTCAATCCTTATCTACTGTTCTCTTGATTACTCTTCTATCATTCTCGCTTTGTAATAATGTTTCACTTTTTTCTTATTCTTTAACATTCACCAATCCCTTGTGTCTTAGTGGCTTTATCGCCCTGTTTGGTTTTAAGTGATTAATAAAAATATTAATTCCAGAAATTTAGTCGAAGTTTATTCAATTTTTTATTTTAAGCTAATGCCTCATTGTAGGAGAATTTTTGTTTATGGATCCGAGTAAATGCTTCCTCGTGAATCATTACTAAAATCTGCCAATGTCATGGATCCTATGAAGACTACGAGCGAATATTGATTTAGGGTCAGGTTTATTGAGATCGATTACTGATCAATGATAATCGGTATAGGGAAGGCTTAATCAAGAAAAACTGCATCTTATCTTATTCTCTAATAAAACCTATTGATTGATTGACATTCGATTCATAAAGCGCCCATTCTTTAAATGAATGTGGTGGCGAAGAACTGACGTAATTGATTTGTTGGTGATCGATAGTTGATATCTCGTGTTGATCTCTCGAGAACTAAATCGATCGCCCCATAGCGTCGTTGATCGCTTTGGTCTAGGCAACGTTAGGGCTCTAATTCTGACACTTTTGAGAGTTGACGGGCTTCATTGGCCTCAAGAAGGTGAGTCGATGTTTATTTTTTGGTTTGCAGAAGAATAAAGTGTATTTAACGGAAGGAAGCGAAACAGTCATAATCTTTTTGAAGTTGTGGAAAGACATGATGACCCACTTCTTGAAGGGACACGAAACCTAGGAGAATGAGAAGAGAAACCCTATTGTCTTTAAAACATACCTTAATTTCTGCCCGCTAACAACCATTTCTCTTGATGATTTCCAATTCACAACTAAATACTGTGTAAGTCGATAAACTATATCCGCTTCCTGGGTGAGACGATAAACTATATCCGCTTCCTGGGTGAGACGATAAACTATATCCGCTTCCTGGGTGAGACGATAAACTATACCCGCTTCCTGGGTGAGACGATAAACTATATCCGCGTCCTGGGTGAGACGATAAACTATACCCGCTTCCTGGGTGAGACGATAAGCTATACCCGCGTCCTGGGTGAGACGATAAACTATATCCGCTTCCTGGGTGAGACGATAAACTATATCCACGTCTTGGGTGAGACGATAAACTATATCCGCGTCCTGGTTGAGATGATAAATTGTATCTGCGTCCTGGGTGATACGATAAACTACATCTGAGTTCTGGGTGAGACGATAAACTACACTCGCGTCCTGGGTGTGACGATAAACTACATCCACGTCCTGGGTGTGACGATAAAATACACCCCCATCCTGGGTAAGACAATAAACTATATCCACATCCTGTGTAAGACGATAAACTATATCCGCGTCCTGGGTAAGACGATAAACTATATCCGACAGCAAGGCCTTTTATCAGAAGATTTTGTGGAGCGTGGAACCACCTCTTAATTGCTGGCGTTCTAAGGTCCACCCGGGTCCGGGTTGTTAGCACCTGTTAAGGTCCCAGATATGGGCAAATAATTTCCCCCAACCCCAAAAGGTTCAAAACACCATGAAAGTATAAAAATAGATTTTTATACCAGCATAGTTTTTTTGTGGAAAAACTATTACCACATTATATTTTTGGAAATGAAAAATATTAGCAGGAGTACATTTTTGAAAAAAAATATTATCGGCAATAAACTTTTGGGAAAAAAAAATTATTGCCAGTAATACATTTTTGAAAACAATACATTAAAAAAAAAAATTACAAGCAAATAAAAATCTTGTTGGCATTCACAACCCATTGATGTTGATATGCCGTAAAACAAGACAAACCAAACCAAACCAATTTACAGAAATGAAACCCGGAAACCGGATATGTAGAGAATAAATATTTCCCACAATTTTTAATTGAAGGAAAGAATAAAACCAGCAATGTGATTGTCTCTCGACAGAAGCCATCTTTTTTTTTTAATGAAACTTGATTTACAAAGTGATTTTGTTACAAAGAATACTTTTTTATTCATATGTATTTATATAATATAAACATTGTTGGCATTAAATAGCCCTTTGAGGTCGATATGCTATAACACAAACCAAACCAAACCACAACTAAATATTTCATATTAAATAGCACTATTTGAGCATTTGAAATAGTTCTTATAATTGCTTTAGTGAACATTTCTGTCAATGCTTTCTTCATTCCTCCAGGATGTAGACCAGTGTTTCCCCACTCTTCAGGGCGCACTTTTGTAGAATAACTAAAATTCTGGCGTCTACGTATAAGATAAAAATAGCCATCAAATTCGAAAATATGAAATTTCATTATTCCAAAAGTATATTAGCGATACGGGTTTCATTTAAAGGATTTATGAAGAATCTATTGTTTCTAGAGAGGCCAATAATGACAGAGTTAAATCCCCTGAGGAAACCAAAAGGCAAAGGATTATCCACCACTTCTTAAGGATTATGGAATTTAGCATGTAGTTTAAAATACTAAATAACAAAGAATTGACTTTGACAACGAAACCACATGTTTCATATTTGTAGCTTTTTAAAAATAAAGATTTTTTTAAAATCTAAAAAGTAATTCATAAATTACTCTTCCGTTAACTTAGGGCGCATTTAGCTGCCTGTCCTAAGAGTATTTGCGCCTAAGTAAATATAACGAAAACAACTGCAATTGGAACTCGGCTCCCGTTGTTGATATGTATTAACGCATAACTCTTAAATCAATTGGCAATTAGCCAATGTTTTGACAACCATTCCAATATAATAAATAAATAGTGTAAATAAAGAATCCAATAAATAAACAGTGTTTATTATTTGTGTTGCCAATTCTCAAGAAGAAAAAAAAGGGAAAAAGTCACTTTCATATGCTTGAATTTTATTAAAATTCTAATCATCGCTTTTTAAAACAATGAACATTGCCGAGGAATGAAGGGAGTTAAAATACAAGTGAAGCCTGAAGGTAACTAAAATATTAGCGGTGTCAAGGGAAAAAAAGTCCTTTTGACTCTCCGACTTTTCGTAGGCATGAAGGTACATGTTTGCTTCAATTTCTATGTCAGAAAAATGTTGGATAATTGAATAACAAAATTCAATAACAAGAAATTCTATGTAATGTATTTCATCCTGTAAACGGACTTCGTCAGACTAAAGTAATTTTCTTATTGTTGCATATATATATATATATATATATATATATATATATATATATATATATTCTAGGATATTACATCAAAAACATGTCAAAATCGTTACACAATTGCAGTCGTGTTTCGATGCGTACCAATGCGATTGTATATTCCTGGCGAGTGAACGATTTATTTAGATTTTAAAGCACAATACAATCTCTTTTTACGAAAGAAAAAGGAGGTGTTATAAGGTTTCTGGGCTTTAATCAGGTAAACCAATCAAATATGACCTACATTAAATTTAAATTAAGAAATTATTTTCCATAAATAGGTCATGACTCGTAGATTGGTAGTCAAAGTCAACACAGACGCTAAACAAGAACGGATGTAAATGGATACATATTATATATTAGACCATGTCATTTACTAAGATTATATGCAGTGGTAATTTATGAAAATGCTAAACAATTTATATGTTTTGTGGGTTTCATACATAAAAAAATGTTATAGATCATAAATAAATAGCTTCTTTAAGAAACCAGAAAATAATTTAAATATATAGACTTACTCGGTAAATTAATATACAAGTGTTAACTAAAGATTCTTTATATAAGATGTTAACAATAACCATTCAATGAAAAATGTCAAAAACTCCAACCAAATACCAATACATCCATACAAGATGTTTACTAAAACTACAAGGAGATTAATACAAAATTATATTAAATCCAAATTAATCTTACAAAGAGAAAGATAAGCCATATATGGTGCAACACAGTTCAACTAAAATCTAAGAAAAAGCATTGTCAAATTCCAACTCTAATTGAATTATAAGATAAATTATTAAATTAAACGTGGAATTGTACTTTATTCGTTCTCATATTTCCTGTATATATATATATATATATATATATATATATATATATATATATATATATACGGGTGTAACAGCAAAATTGTCCAAATCGTGTTACAGCATAATTGTACATCTCACAAAATAGTTAATATCTAAAAATACTTCAGTTTCTTTTTTTTCCAGATTTTTTTAGCTAAGTCGTTTAGTCATCTTGATACCATCTGTTGTGGAGATCATTGAAAAACCCTTTGAGTTATTCAACTAGAAAGAGAACTGGTTAAAATCGTTTAGCGTCAGACCTACTGTCTTCTCAACCGAGCAATAGTTAGACAAAAAAATCATCCAGGCTTTCAGTAATGGTACTAACATTCATAATCTGGCTTCCATCTTCAAAGTCCATTCAAGAATCATCAAAAAAACAGTGAAGAAGTTTAAAAAAAAACAGGGAACAGTAGAGAGAAAAACTTGATCAGGAGGTTACAAGAAGAAGAGAGCTCATCATTTAAAAAAGATCCAACTCAATACATAAGGTGTTTGGCGCATGAGAGAGGAGTTTCTGCTATGACAGTACAAACAGCAGTAAAAAAAAAGATTTGAAAATGAAATCGTAAGTGAAACGATTGAGGCACATTGTTAGTCCAGGATAGAAAGTTCGAAGGTTAGAGAGGGCGAAGATCATCTTGAAAAAGTTGGAAAATGATCCAGGAATATATATATATATATTCGAATTTTATTTCAATCCTTCATGAACTTCCGATCCTTAGCTATGATTAATTAATGATATGTCATTTTTGTTTATTATCGATTTCATCACATTTCTTCTGTTAATCTTGGAGAGTAATTATTCATTCTTATTGCTTAAAGTAGAGTCCAACAGTGTTATAAAAACCTCAGAGATTTCCAGAAAGATATCTTCATTTCTAAGATACAATTGTTCAAAGCTTAATCTAACACTTGGACAATTTTGGTGTTATACGATTTGGACAATTTTGTCTTTTATACCCATATATATATATATATATATATATATATATATATATATATATATATATATATATATATATATATATATGTGTGTGTGTGTGTGTGTGTGTGTGTGTGTGTGTATATAGATATATATATGTATATTAAAAAGGCTTCCATTATCTTTATCTTTTTTGCATGTAGACGATGCATTGTTAACAAGTATGTTGGGAATAGGGTCCGGTAGGTCACCATACGCATTTAAATGATACCCAATTGAGCTATGGTCAGAAAGATGTAGCGTTGATATTAATATTATTCTCATTAATGATAAAAAAAAAACACAATAATATCAACTATGAACATTGGCACAATATGTTGACTGTGTTTTGAAAATAAAACATCCTATAATAATAAATACATACATATAATAATCTATTCCCAATTAACAGTTAATATACTTCTTCCTTGAAAATAGCTAAATGTATAGCCAAAAGCGCTCGGAAAAATATAACATTTTTACAGTTTTTGTATAATTCATCTATTGAAAAGAAAAAAAAATATGATCATATGAGAAATTATGTAAAAATCTTAATCAAAGAACTTTATCATATTTAATGAAACTTGCATGAAATAAGGCTTGCTACGGAAATTCACAATATATATATATATATATATATATATATATATATATATATATATATATATATATATATATATATATATATATATATATATATATATATATATATTTACATATTGCA